CTGTGTGTGGGCTGGTCGCGGTAGGGGATATAGTGCTTGTTTATGGTCCCACTCACCACTCCCGGCCAACGGGGCCTCGCGGGGCGTCCTCGTTTGCAGTAAAAGGCCTCTGCCATCGCTCAGAGTCCCAAACCATGTGATCCTCCGCGCCGCCGCGCCCGAGTAGTCTGCCAGATGCGACGTCGTCGGGGAGGGCGTCGTCGCGGGCGCCAACGTGTCGTCATGCGAGCCCCTACGGCTGTCCAAGGGCACGTCTGGGTGACCAGGGGCGGGGGTCGAGCCGTGAGTGCTCCGCCGGGGCGAGCTTCTGGGTCTATGGGACCGCTGCCGGACCCATCCGAGAGCCTCTCCGGACACGTTCGCTCGACGGCCTAGTTGGCGGCCGATGTTCGACGACTAAAGCTCCGGACGCCGCGGCCAAAGGTCCGCCCACGGCCCCAGGGCTCGTGGTTGGTGTGGGGTGTGCCTCACGAGGCGGAGAGGCCGCGTGAACTCCCGTAGAAGCTCGCGAAGTGCGGATTTGGAGCGCCGCGCCGGACCTCCGCCGGGGCCCGCCGGGACGCCGTATGGGCCTCGGGGTGCCCGATAAGCTTAGAGGTGCGGTTTTTTTTGCTTGTGTCTATCGGTTCATGTCATGGACCGGCCCTGGGAAGCCTTTGACCGCGCGCGGAGGGTGTTACGGGGCCGTGATGATTTAGCGGGAGGGAAATCGGCCGATTTGCCCAGTGTGTTCGTTCTTGGATTCTGCAATGTGCCGCCTCTCGGCCGCGGGGGCGCCTACGAGACTGCACTCCTAGGGCCTTGTGTCAACGGCCAGGCAGTCGTCGGCCACCGGCTTCCCCACTTCCCCGGCGTGCGCCTCGAGACACGTGGCGTCACACTACTCCTAGTCAATGGAGGCGAGGATCTCGTCGCGGCAATCGCGCCCGCGTTCGTGGCGGCGTGTGGCCGCATCGGGATCCCCTGCCGCACATGCATCGTCGATGGCGCACAGCCAGCTGTTGCGGTCGCTTTCGGAGGCAACCGTCTCGCCATCTGCCGCCCCGACGCGGTCGTGACATTTCTGGGTGCCGCCGCATGCCTGCCCGAGGCTGTAGTGGAAGAGGCGGGCCTGGCGGCGGAGGCGCTGCTGCTGGGTGAGAAGGTCGCCCCATGACGCTAACGGTAAATGAAGACACCAGTGAGGGAGGGCGAGACGATCGAGGGGTCCCATGCGGGGAATCGACTTTATCCGCGACGGTATAAAAAAGAAGAATTTAAGCAAAACAACTCAGTCTCACAGCAGACAGGCTCGACACAGGTGCGGACTGGCGCGTGCTAGCACTATCACAATAGACCTACATCACAGGCAAACCACCGGAGCCGCGCCTTAAAGCGTTTCCGGTACTGAGTCCAACAAGAAAACACGCACCGCCGGCCGCCACTCGGCCGCCACTCTCGCGACGAAAAAGGCATTGAAGAGCGCGTAACGAGCGCGACGTCGGCCACCGCCGCCTCGAGGTGCGTGCTCCTCGCTCCAGCGCATGCGAAGGGCGATTCCGACAATCGCCGCTCTGGTGCTCGCCTCCGCCGCAAAGATGCAGGGCGCTCCGCTCCGGCAGCTCCACGACCCCGACACGGGCCTTTCGGCGCTCTTCTACATGCCGCCCGCAGCCGCAGAGCCGCTGCCACTGCTGCTGTACCTGCACGGCGCTGGGGAGTCGGGACGCGAGCTGCGCGATCTGATTTCCGAGGGTGCGACCGGCACGCCGCCGGTCGAGCTCGAGCACGGCACCGCGCTGCCCTTCCTCGCCAAGCACTTCATTGTCGTTGCGCCGCAGACGGACCACGGCTGGCGCCCCGCCGAGGTGAACAAGTTCCTCGACTTTCTGCTATCGAGCAGGGCCGGCCTGCCGATTGACGCGGCGCGCTGCTATGTGACTGGGCACTCCATGGGCGGCGGCGGCGCCCTCCATGCCGCAGCAGCCAAGCCGTCTCGCTGGGCTGCCGTGGTTGCCGTGGCGCCGGCGGGTGCTCCGCGTGCCGCGGATCTGGCGACGACGCCCGTCTGGTGCTTCCACGGCAAGAACGACGTGGTGGTGCCGTCGGGGATCAGCGAGCATCTGGTGCAGCGGCTGCGGACGGGCGGCGCCGACGAGGGCAACGCCAAGCTCACGCTGTACGATGCTGCGCCTGCGCCGAAGGGGTGGCCCGCCTACGACGGGCACGGCTCGCCGATGCCTGCGTACGCGACCCCCGACCTCTGGCGCTGGCTCCTGGAGAAGCGGCTGGGGTCGGGCAGCGCAGCGTGACGCGCGTGAGACTAGTTGGAAAAAGTCTGTGGTGCAAAACCCGCCTAAAACTGCGAAAAACTCCTCATCGCAAACCCTGTCAGCAGTCCTCCTCCGGGAATGTACGTAAGAGCCACATATGAATCGTGTGTGTGTGCGTAAAACTAGATACTCTAACATTTTCCCATTTGTTCATTAATATAAAGCCGTAGCGGCCTGTTTGTCACAACACGTGCCGCAAGACACGGCGCAATCATGAAGGAAGTCACGTTATCTTGGACGTATCCCTCGACGCGAAGTGGCGACGAGCCATGCAGTCACCCGAATTGCTTGGACACCTCTCCTGCAAGTAGAACGAAACATTCTTGGAGCTTCCCCCTGCCTCCATGCAGGAACGCATCTTATCCGTGGCGACGCGCTGTGCCACCGAGCCGTACTCGGCCGCGCCGCCGCGTCGAGGCACGGGTCCCCTACCAAGCAGCGACGCCCTGGGGTGTCGACGGGCCCCCGGGGGCGACGGGGGTGCTCTCCGGCCGCGGCGGCCGAAAACGGGGGTCTATGTTACGGTATGTTAATGAAGTGATCCACTTGATCCAAGGGTGCCATTGTGCTCTACTACAAAAGTTGTGTAAGATGCCCAAGTCTCAGACACTGAATCCTCAGCGGAGCTGAGTTCTGACGGTGTGAACACGAGCAACCGGAGTGACGACCGGGACCGGGCCGTACGCCGGGAGTGCCCCCCGACTAGCAGTGACGGGCGCGGATGAGTGAATGAGAGGTCGCTATCTGTGGGAAATGTGTTATTAGAGACTATGACTGCCTATCTCTCGCTGAAAGGAACCTCTCATTCGCTCGTCCGCACCCGTCACCGCTCACGGAGTGCTCCGCGTGCCGCACCGGCCGCCGCCGGCCGCCGGCCGCTTACGCGGTAACGGAACAGTGCTACTACTCCGCAACGTTGAGCTGGATCAAACTGAATAGTGCTCCTGAAAGCCCTCTCTCTGGGCTCTGCCACACAGTAGCAGCTCACGACTAGCAGCTGGTGTGGCTGTATTTGTAGCCATTTTTAGGCTTCAACTGGTCCCAAAATAGTAGCAACACCTCATGAAAATCAGTCAAAAAAGCCCCAAAAAATCGGCGCCTGCGGCGGGCTTCCTGGGACTGCGCCCCAGACCCCCTTGACTGGGGGGACCCCCCCCGAGAGCACCCCCGTCGCCCCCGGGGGCCCGTCGACACCCCAGGAGCGAAGCGTCGACCGATAGAGCGCCACGCCCAGCAGTATGGGCGTCGACCGCTCTCTCGAGCGGCCGCGTGGTGGTGCGTGGCGCGGACGTCACGGGCGGCAAGCGTGGAGCCACTGGAAGAGCCGGTGCGAGCCGTGGACGGCAGCCGCTCCCCACGTCGCCGAGAGAGGCTGCGGGAGAGGGTTCAGGAGGCCACTGGAGGCGCCGGGAGGCTCGGGAGGCGCTAAAAAGTGGCCCGGGCGCCTCGCACCACCCGTCTGGTGGGGCCGGGTGGGCTCAGGAATTAATCCAGGATTTTAAGGTGATCCACTGCCACCTGACCGAGAATTGGATGGGTGCGTACTTCGGGTCCTTTGCCCACGATCAGTGTCACCAGTCACGTACAATAGTCGGAGTCACCCCGGAGCGGCAGGAGCGCTCTGCCTGTGGGGGGGGTGCTGGCATCTGTACAGACAGCAGCTGTAAGTAGCATGCGTTCAGTGGCGAGAATTTATGGTCGGCATCAAAATCAGTGGTCTCACCGGCGGGCCCTCCTACTGCCAACCGGGAGGTGCGGGGCACGCCAGCCTCTCTTCTACGCCTCTCGTGCCTCGCGGCGCCTCTGCTTCAAGGGGGGAAGATACGGCTCTCGCAGCCCATCATACGCCGTGGCACAGCGGGGAGCACAACGGGCTGTACAAGATATTGTTCCCTATCTTCGCATGCTCGTCGTTGGTGATATCCGCGCGAGGTCATACGCCACAGGCCAGCAATCACTCGATGATGAGACTACACTGATGTATAGGCGCGTGTGGTATTACAAGATAGACTCACATGGTCACAAGTGTTAGTAAAACGCCAGCACTCGACACGACGAAGGTGTATTGGGCTCGAAGGCGCGGTGAACACAACCACCTCGAGCGTACCGCTCAAATACGAGCCCGGGGGTGGCATGAAGGTCGGATCTTGGTCTTCTTTCTCTCTCCCTCTTTCTTTCCTCCCCCTTTTTCCCCTTTTG